TGTTCTTGATATATTTCGATAAAGTATTTAGACTACTGATTAATGGTAAACGTATATAGAAATAATAATAAGCTAGAATTGTAATTAAAATTAAATATTACAAATGATAACTAATATCTTAAGTAAAAAATAATTTTAATTAAACAAAACAAAAGTATATTTAATAGGAAATGAAACAATTTATTAGCCTTTTATGAGGGCTTTTAAGGAATTTGAATACATTTTACTTTCATTTATAAATTTCTCACTGTTTAGACAATTTTATCGATTGTATGCAAAAACAAAACAAAATCAGTTCATTATCTTTATTGTATACAAAACAACAACAGTTATCGAGACCTGAATTGTCAATAAACAGACAATTAGTTTTAGACTTGATTTGCAATAATACTGTTAACTCAATGATTGATTGGTTTATGAATACATTACACGACTATATATTCACTTCTTTACTTTTTTTATTGCTAATGAATTTGCAAAATAACTTATTTGCTAATATTTAGGAAGTATTTAAAAAAGTTTCTTATAAAACGGTAAGTGATTAATATTTACGGCATTAGCCAATTGAATATGTAATACACGGTACGTATTAGGGTAACAATTTTTACTATCACTAACAGGTATTTTCGCAAATGATATGTATTATGAGTTTAATTAATGTATTGATTTCACTCTTTAAAAATCAATCTTAACTTTTTTTCACAAATAATTTACGATTCAATTTATTTCCATAAACTCTTAAACACATGTTTTATAACTACAGTACAGAGAGAGTATGTCATATGAAGGGAGAGGGAGGTTAGGGTTTAATTAAAAAGCACTTAATCGTGAGGATGTATACCACCAATTGATCTAACAATTTGGTTAAAAAGTATTTTAATGGATAGATAACCGAAATCCCGTTACGAGAAGCTCCCGCTGAGAGCCATAATCCCAGGGGAACCCCCTCTTATCGCCGACAGCACCCGACCCTTCTGGCCATCGGTTTGTGTTATAAATATTTGAACGAAAGAAACAGTTTTTTTGCTCACAATTTGTTTCCCCAGCAAATGAAGAGCTCTTATAATTAGGTTATAATTAATTCCTTACAGTATTTCCGCGAATAAAAAACTCGATTTTCACATTTTGTATAATAATTTTGTTTTTGCTTATATAATATGTGGTGCTTTTTCTCCCCTTTTCGCAATTTGCATTAAACAAATTGAATGAATGAATAATTTTTTTACATATCCACTAAATAAGTGCTGGAGTACTGAGGTTTTCTGAACTAATTTTTTTTATTATAATAATAAAATTGGAAAATATTTTCGTTTAGATTGAATATAACTCTCCCTTTTATGCTATCAAATGCGAAAATATTTGTGTAAATTATTTTGGAAGTTGAATTCAAATGCGATATTTTTGCGAAATATATTTTTATTTGGCTAAAACATCTTTTAAATGCATTATTTATTATCTCAAATATCTTAATCTCTACGGCGATTAGCTATTCATTGGCTTATAAAATGTATTTTATATTTTTTATGTTTTCTGTGTTTATAAATCACTTTAGTTAGTTTTTGCAAGCAAATTATTTTTTAATTTTATTTATTTATTTATTTTTCTATTATATTTTATTATTCTCGGACGATTATTCAAACACTGCATATATTTTTTGAAATGCAAATGAAAAATCTCTATTAAATCTGCAAAAACACAGTATATTGTCGTTAGTTTCAAGTAATCTCTATCTCATCTCCATATGCCTTCCAAATGCAAGAGGTTTTAGGCTTTAATGCTAATGTATTGAAGATTTTAAATTGAATTAAAATTTCAAATTTGTTTTGTGTCCTCATTATATACGCGTACACATGATATAACACAATAAATACATACGAGAAATATATTTATATATACTTTTATTTTTTCTGTATGTATGTTGTGCATTGGCATCATAGAGAATAAAATAAATTGCATACAAAAAGCACAAAAAAATTTAATTTAAAAATTGAATAATTTCTTAAATCTTCTTACGTATGACTTATGTATTGAATTTAAATATAAATTATATACGACTGGAAAAAATAACACATATTTTGATTAATTTTGCGCTCAAATACTTGACATAAATCATGGGGACGACACAGACGGATGCGGTGGTGAAGGGCCTGATCAGCGATCTGTCATATTCTGTGGACCCATACTATACGGACGACATAACCAACTATTTGATGCGAAGAAAGGGCGATTTGTTTGGCTCGGACCTCATCTCCCGTAACATAGCCCGGGGCCGGGATCACGGCATTGCCTCCTATGTTAATTACCTTAACTTTTGTTTCGGTTTCGAAGTAAGTGGTCTCGTATTTAACGGTATAAATGATAATCGCGTATAAAATATAAGGTTATTTATGGCACACATAATATACTCGCAAATCCGAACTCATTATTTATTAATGAGGGGATTATTATTTAATTTTCATTACATTATTAGCAATTAAATGAACAAAAATAAAACACAAACGAGATTTTATTTGGCAAATAAGGCACACATACTGTATATGCCGGAGAGGGGTATAGAAAGAAAATTATAACAAATAATTACTCGTATGCTATCCGTAGGTGCGCTCATGGGATGACTTAAAGCTGTTTATACCCGAGAATTACGTGAATCTGTTCCGACAGTTGTATAAGTAAGTCACGAATTTCACTCAATTCTGGGACACAGTTTTTATTGTGATTATACTTTGTTCACGTGATATAACATTTGCGTTTTATAACGTAATTATACGATTGGTGTTAAGTATTAAACGCTTCAATCGATTACATAATAGTTTTCAATCAATTAATTAGATTATGAAATGTTTTCGTTTTGTTTGTTGAGGTCGTGGAGTGATGTCGATCTATATATCGCTGGCATATCTGAGCGCCATTTCCCCGACGCTGATGTTGGGCCTACTTTTGCCTGTATACTTGGTATCCAATATTACCACATTAAGCACGGGGACAGGTATTACTACGAACATGGGGGCCAAAGTGGTTCATTTACATTAGGTTCATATTCATAGATTGCTAACTTTAACATGTAGCTAGCTTTCCGGTTATTACACTCATATGTAACCCTAATATTGTATCTAGCTCAGCTCAATAATATCCGACAGACGGCCAGTTTGGCGCGACTCGTATGCCTGACCTCCGACTACATATCCAGTGCACAGCCCTATGCCTTCTTCCCTGTGTCTCAGTATAACCGACTGCTCTCTTGTAAGACATATCGGGATTTCGACTATTCGTTGTGGAAAGAGAGACCCAATTAGAGACCCAAACGTGAAAAAACACTTTCATTAAAATGTAATTTTATTTTTCACAAATTAAAGTATGTTTTATATGAAATACATTTTTGTAGTTTCTGTTTTCAGCTCTAAAATTAAAATCAATAAATTTATTAAAGATCTCTTATTTTTTGTTTGTAATAAATTTATTAAATTAAGAATCATTAATAAGGATAAATTACCCCTGATAATTATCGATGTAATGATAATTTTGAGCTAAAAATAAAATTAATAACTGGACAAAGGATTATGTTATAAATGATAATTATTTTATAAACTACTGTAGTTTATGTTTTGATTAACAATACGATATGATGATAAAATATGATAAAGTTGTTTGTTTTAATAAATGATTTTATAAGGCTTGCATTTCATAGGCAACATATTTTATTTCTAGTGAAAGTAAAAATAAGTGTTATTAACAAACAGAATGTAGATTAGTAGATCTATTTTTCAGTGTCAAACACATGTGCCTAGATTAAAATACCGTAAATAAAGGTATTTCGGGTGCACATTGTTAAACATGTAAGCTATTTAAATACTTTTAAATACTGCAATTGTTTTGATTTTCGTGATAAACAGATTATATTTGGGAACAAAGTTTATATTTGAAACCAATATTTGTTGAGACAATCGTAAATCTATGTCTATTCCCCTTATGATTAAACTGTACTGACTTTCAGTAGGCATGATCTCTAAGTACGGGTAATCAGTCGTTGAGATAACAAAACTTGTTTTCATCGGTTCTCTAATCATTATATTCTTGACAATCATTTCGATGATCTAATTATTAAAATGAGTTTACGTTTTATCAGCGCAAAACAAAATAAAGTTTTTAAAAAANGAGGCATTTGGTTCGTGAACATCGAGTAGTTGCCGTACAGCCGGTCGTAGTCCCGGAGCTGATGGTGGGCGTAGTCGAAGGCCGACTCCATGTCCTGTTGCGTGATCTCTGGCGTCCGTTTGTAGTGCTTGGCACACGTGCCCGAGTAGTAGAGGTAAGCGCCGGTAGATAAATACGAGCCGTAGATCTGTTGAGCGTTGTATCGTTTGCCAGAGAAGTACTGTTGAGTATTGTATGAGTTGGTGCCATACGTGCCCGGAATGGACTGGTATGGCGACCGAAGCCTAGTCCGGTTGTATGGCTGACCACCCGGTGCGCCATTAGTTTGATTGTATGTCTTATAATTGAATTGATTGTACGGCTGATGGCTAGGCTGTCGGTAGTTATAGTTATATCGGCCGTACATAAGGCGCAGGTACTGATAGTACGCAGGGTTTCGGTAGTTTTGATAATAGACAGGGTGTACCACCGGCACCGGTACGTAATGTACAGCACCCGGGAAGGTATAGGCCGCGGGAGAATTAGGTTTATGATATCTGCTGCCGGCATAATACTAGCGATTAAATTGTATTATTTGTAAAAACTTAAAACAAACACAAAATGATAGAAAAATTTATGATTACATTGTCGGTGGTGTAATTCGTGGATCCGTTGGTGTTATTATAGTTATTATAGTTATCATTTCCATATCCATTGTCGGGGTAACCATTGACTTGTCCGTATCCAGTATCAGGGTCATATCCACCGGAATATTCATTGTTCCCGGTGTATTCTTCATTAGGATCCGGATAGACGTCATTGTTCTTCACTATATCTTTGTCTATAATGTCTTTGTCTTTAAAATCTGTGTCTTTAAAGTCTGTATCTTTAAAATCAGTTTCAATTTTCTCCTCATTTTTATCCTCAATCTCTTCATTCTTCAGAAGAGATTCATCCGCTTTGATGGTTACAAATGTTGAGAATAAGACAATCAGACAAATGGTGAGACACGTCCTGAAATGGTTTGAAGGCAAACAAACATTGTTGTATTTTTTATCTCATTTTATAACCAAAATATTCATTGAATAGCTTATTACCGAAGACGTGGATTAAATGTATGACTCAATTTGCGATTCATTTTGATCGCCAATAAGTCATAGAAAAATTTTTGACAAAAAACCACAGAATCGACTAAAATCTATTCACTACTGAATAGTATGGCAACAACTGCTGCCTTTGAAAAAGTCTTTCTATGATAAGTCATACGAAAATTTGTGGATCCAATGTCTGATCGATTAACAGGATATGAATTTTTAGTGATAGTCACATGAAATAGTTGTTGATATCAGCGTTTTGTGGTTGTGAAAAGTGAATGAAAATTTGCTGACATTCAATGTTTGGCTTTTGGTTTTGATTTTTACTCTTTATTTCACTCAT